CCTTAATACTAAATCTATAAATATGTGCACATAGATCTATTTCCCAATCCTCATATATAAATATATTTGCATATGTACATGTCTATATCTAGACCTCTATAAATGCTCTTTGCCTCCCAGCTCTTTCCTCTATTTCCTTTGCCACAGTCACCTTTTAACCCTTAAGCCATCCCCTGGGGCTCAACTTTCATCTAAATAGATAGATAGGTAGATAGATAGATAGATAGATAGGTAGATAGATAGATAGATAGATAAAGTGCACAATATAAAACCTGCTGGCATGCACGCCTTAGAACAGTTGATCATAAGAGACCCAAAGGGTAACATTGCCCAGGGACAAAGCTCAGAAGGTAAGAAGGGACAGGAAAGAATGAATGGCAAAGGGGAACACAGTGAGGAAATGTGAAGAGTGCAGTTACATTGTGGGGGTTGTAATCTGTGACACAAAACAGAATGTGAATGAATTGTTAATTTAGAGATTATTTTGCTCTATACACTTCCCCCAAAATCACAGTAAAAAGTTTGTTTTTTTTTTTAAATGGAGGGGCTTTATTTGACTGTGCTGGTCTCTGAATAAACTAGTTGTATTTGTGTAGGTTCCCTGTTGATGATTGTTGTGCCCTTTTCCAGAAAACCGCTGTGAAGGCTCTGAAGGACATTCTGTCACAGAGTTATTACATACAGTTAAGGAAGTTTCCAAAATGAGCATTGCTCATGAAATTGTAGTAAACCAAAATTTCCGTGTGGAAGAAAAAATTTTACCTCCAAACAGGTACAGACTCTTCTATGTTTTTCCCTTCTATTCTTCTTGGTATGGGTACATAGCATAAACAGCTTTCAATGAGGTCTGAAACATTTTCATTCAACAATGCAATTAATGTTTGAGTATGTGTTGAGGAGTCTTGGTGGAGCAGTGATTAGGCCTTCAGCTAAGTGGAAGGCTGGCATTTAAAGTACTTTGTCACTTTGCGTGAGCTATAAATGACAGTCTGCTTCGGTAAAGATTTACAACCTTGGAAACCCTGTAGAGCCATTCTACTCTGGTTTTTAGGTTGGCTATGAGTCAGAATTTACTTCATGGCAGTGAGTTAAAATTTTGGTTTGGAAATGTTTTAATAATTAAATGGGTACTATTTTGGTTAAACTCTATATTTTGAAGCATATTTAAATATTTTCACCCTAATCACTTCTTAAATGACCACTTTAGCCTGTTAAGGCATTTTTCACTTCCAGTAGCTTTCTTGATCTTCACAATTTTTAGCTTTCCCATTGCCTGTTACTAAGTATCCATGGCAAGTACAGCTTGTATGAAGAAAGTTTTCACCAAGATACAGGTCACATAGAATATTCCTTAATCAACATTGACTAGTCACAAAATTTAGGATCTTGGTGGCATAATGGCTGCTAACCACAAGATCAACAAATCAAAACCTCCAGCTGTTTAGCAGGAGAAACATGAAGCTTTCTGCTCCTGTAAAGATGTATGGCTTCAGAAACCTAAAGGGGCAGTTATTCTCAGTCCTACAGAGCCGCTATGAACCAGAATTGACTTGACAGAGTAGAGTGAGTCACAAGATTAGAGCCCTTGAATGATTCATTCATTTTTTGTGTGCCTTTACTTCCAGTTAAACTAAAAATGCCATTCTTTTACCTAGTTCTCTAACTTAACCAGGACCTACTCCTCTAAAATGGCAAATTAAATAGGAGTCTATGCTGGGACTAGTGTCTGGCATTTTTATTAAGTTTGTTATAGTATATACAGAAGTAGGGCTAGAGCTATGGTGCTCCACACCAAGTTAAAGGTACCTTCTACTTCAGCATGCAGACTTTTATGAAGCCATGATGTGTCTGTATGAAGGGATTTGGATAATGCTTTGCATCTGAGACTAATCCGTTTACTCAAACCTGCTCTGTTCTAAACACAATTCCTGGCCTGTCAATTTAATGGCCTTTCCAAACCAAAACTAAATCAAATTCATTATCATTGAGTTGATTCTGACTCATAGTGACTATATTATCTTAAATGTTGTTTGGGAGATATACAATTATTTTTGTATTAGTTCTCTATCTAAATAGCTATTTGCGCATTTAATGTTTTTATAGTCCAGAAGGCAAGCTCACAGAAAAAATGTACGACGCTTTTTGGGACCATCTGAGAGAACAGTTATCGAGTCTTCCCCCTGACTTCACCAGTGCTCTTCAACTTTTAAAAGACGTTAAAGAGGTGAGTAGCCAGCTTTCCACTTGTGAATATGATGCTCCCAGATCCCTGGAGTGCTAGTGGCTACCAATATTCTCAATAGTATACATTCTTTATGAATATGGTCTGATATTTAAATAGTATATGGGAGCTTTCACATATTTGTATGTAATAAACTTTAACAGTTGAGCATGCTAGAACAACACAATATCATATTCAATTAAACAAATTTCCATAGAACCTCACTATTTTTTGTGTTGCAAGAAACAAATTAATAGAAGAGCTTTTGCCCACAAGAAACAAATGTTTAAAAATAACTTTAAATCTTTTAAACAAATGCATTTTATTTTTAAGTTAGTAGTTAATACATATATCATTCCATAGTTCAATCACATCAAGTAGTAGTGTATAATTGCTACCACAATCAGTTTCAAAACATTCATTTCCTTCCTGGACTCCTTGACACTATCTCCCTTTTACCCCACTTCCACCACCACAGTACCCCCTTATTCTACTTGCTGTCCCTATAGGTTCATCAACTCTGAGTTTCATATACTGAAAAACAGAAAAACCTATATCACAAGTTCAAGAGGGTGACCCCCAATGACATAACACATGAGATGAACAAACAAAACAAAACAAATACAGATCAGCCCCAGTGTGCAGTAGAGCAGGAATCAACTGCCGGGGATTTAACTGTTCAAGTCAGGTATCTCCCTTTGATCTATACTCATATATCCAACACACTCTGCTTATAACCACTTACCTCTCATCTCTCTATGGATAAAGGGAGATAACCAAAGGCTTCATTCTTGAGTAGTTCCCAAAAATGTATCTTCGGCTCCCCTGTCATCCATAGCCTTCTGCGAACTGGATTCTCACAAGTTAGGCTCTGATACTATTCCCTCCTTCGATTTCAGATTATATGATGGTGTGCTTCTTCCATGTGGACTTAGTTGACATCTCACTTACTGTGTATATTTGTGTATAAGATGAATTTTTCATCACATTTTTAATGCAGTTTTTGTGGTAAAATTAGGTGCCTCGGCTGATATTTGGGTCAGCTTATACTTGAGTATATATGGTAGATGGCTCCTTGTTTGGAGACAGGCCTTTAAGATCCAAGACATGATTTTATCTCCTAGCAGGGCACCATCTAATTTCTTCACCACATTTTGCAATAGTACATTCCTGACGGTGAGTATCAAGCAGGGCCATGATGTAAAACTAATTGTTCTTGGGTTGGAGCTAGGATTTAGTGCTAGCCCAAAACCCATTCCTGGTTCAATGTTACTTGTTTAAAAATCTGCCTTTGGCGCCTTTTCAAAACCTCCTTGTGAATTTATGGTACAGAGTCTTATCAATTGTCCCCATGGGGCATAATGATGTTCCATTAATATTATATTTGATTAGCCCCTGGAACTGAATTTTTAAAGCCCTGTTGAGAGAGGGGATATTGGGCTACTGTAGGCTAACTCCATATCACAGTACCTGAATTATTCACTTGTAAAGAATCAATCCTTCGTGGCTGGATCAATCCTTCATGGCTGGATGCTATGTACACAATGGGGATTAATTGTCGGGAAATTTACAATAACAATCACTGAGACTATCAGTCAAAGGTTTGCTGGAGTAATACATATCTTAATATAGCATTGATGTAGCAAGACCTTGTTTGTCCGCCTACCAACAGTTCAACAATCTTGGTACAGCTGTTTCCGCTTCTTCAAACAACATGAATTTTCCAAAGTAAGTCCTTGGGTTTCAAGTGTGTCTGAAGTAGAATCCAGTTCACCCAGTGGAATTTCCGCATCGGATCTCTCTGATGCAACCACTGGAGCATGCTGTGTGCTTTGCATATCCAGGATTCACTGCCCCAGTGTTCCAGGGCACCTGGCCGAACCCAGAGTCAATGTGGCCCATGCGGTGCCTACCACCAAGAATACTCCCTACCTAGGGTCCCCAAAAGCATTTTCAATCATTGTTCATCCCAACTAAAGATACTGACCTTTAGCTTTCCCTGTCAAGCATTTGTGTTCCCCCCAAATGTGTTTGATCCCTTTCCCCCCGCCTGACTTTGTTTTCCCCTCACTGTCCCTCATCTCTGATCGGACTGCCTACCTGCCTGGAGGGTACCTCATCATAGCTTTGCATGGCAGCCACTCAGTAGACTGCATCCCTTCCCTCTCCCTTGACCATTTGATCTCAGCTGACATGAAGCAGCCTCCTGGCAAAGTGCCCTTTAAAATATTTACCTAATTGGATGGTGTATGGTTCACTGGCACTAGTCAGGCTCTCTATCAGACTGTCTGCCCCCACTGTTTAGCAGACTGGATGCCCTGCGAGCCTGAGCGTATGCCCATCCTGATGCTTGTTCCTACAGCAGTGGACTCATACAGTATTTATCCATTTGTGATTGACTAACTTCACTCAGCATAATGTTTTCCAGATCCCTCCATGTCTTGTGGTGTTTAATAGTGTCATCACTATGTTTCATGGATACATAGTATTCCATTATGTGGATATATCCGAGTTTCTTAATCCAATCTTTCACTGATGAGAATTTAGGCCATTTCCACCTTCTTGCTATATTGTGACCTGTGCTACAGTGAACATGGAGGAGCATACCCCTGCAATCTGTTTCTCATGATCTGTTTTTTATTCCCTTGGGGTATATGCCTAGTAATGGTATTGCTGGGTCATATCATATTTCAGTTGCCATCTGTTTTAGGAATCACCATATCACTTTCCACAGTGGCTGTACATATTTACAAGCCTACCAGCAGTGAATAAGTGTTCCAGTCTCACCACACCCTCTCCAGCATTTGTTGTTCTTCATTTTTTAAAATTGGGTTACAATTATGGGTGCTAGATGGTATCTCATGGTTGTTTTGACTTGCATTTCCCAGATGGCTAGTGATGGGGAGCATTTCCTCATGTGTTATTAGCCATTCGAGTGTCATCCTGTGTGAATCATCTGTTCAGGTCCTTTCCTACCTTCTCAGAGGGTGTTTAGGTTGGTTTTTTTTCTTGTTGTTGTAGGGTTCTGCTATACTGTAGCATTTAGTAATTAGTTCTTTTTCTGTTATGACATTACTAAATATCTTTTCCCAATCTGGGGCTCTCTTTTCCCTCTTTTACTGAAGTCTTTCATTGTGCACATGTATTTTATTTTTAATAGGCCTTCCCTGTAGTGTGTTTCGTTTGTTATTTCTTTTTTATTTGTTATTTCTGATAGCCTGTGTATTCCCTGCACTAGAGCACTTACGTAGATTTGTCGTAATTTTCTCATTGATGGACCTGATGTCTTTGATCTACTTTGAGTTGGTGTTTGTGCATGAGGTGAGCTCTGGGTCTTGTTTCAGTCTTCTCCACATGGATCTCCAGTTTTTCCAACACCATTTATTGAAGAGGGCATCTACTTCCCATTGAATGGTTTTAGGGCCTTTGTCAAAAAGCAGTTTTCTGTATGCTGACATTTTATTTCTGGATTTTATGTCCTGATACATTGGTCCATGTATCTATCATTATACCATTACCAGGCTGTTTTGACAACTGTAGGTTTTGAAGTCAGGTAGAGGAAGACCACCTACTTTGTTCTTTTTTTTTAACTACGTTGTTCTTTTTGAGGCATTCTTTGCATATCCTGGGTTTCTTCCCTCTCCATATGAGGTTGGTGATCATTTTTTCCACTTCTTTGAAGAATGATGCTGGGATTTGGATCAGGATTGCATTCAACGTGTATAGTACTTTAGGTAATATTGACTTTTTCACAATATTGAGTCTTCCAGTCCACAAACATGGAATTGAATGTTCCTCCATTTGTGTAGATCCCTTCTGGCTTCTTGTAATAATGTTCTGTCGTTTTCTTCGTACACGTCTTTAGTTTTTGTGGTTAGGTTCATTCCTAAGTGTTTCAGCTTCTACGTGGCTGTTGTGAATGGTATTATTTCCTTGACATGTTTTTCGGTATTCCCATCACTGGTATATAGGAAACGAATTGATTTCTGCTTATTAATCTTGTATCCTGCTACACTACCAAACTCCTCGATTGTTTCTAGTAATCCTAGTATGGACACCATGGGATACTCAATATATAAAATCATATCATCTGAAAATAGCAAAAGTTTCACTTCTTCTTTACCCAATTGTACTTCCTTGATCTCTTGCTGTTGTCTTATGGTATTGACTAGGACTTCCTGCACAATGTTGGATAAAAGTGGGATTTAGGGACATCCTTGTGGGATTCCATTATTCAGTGGAAATGTTTTTAGCTTTTCTCCATTGAGTGCAATATTGCCTATTGCTTTTCCATGTATGGTCTTTATTATATTGAGAATTTTCCCTTCCAATACTATGCTTCCCTTCCAATACAAATGCTTTTTCTCAATCAGTTGATATGACCATATGGTTCTTGTCCTTTTTCTTGTTCATATGGTGGATTATGTTAATTGTTTTTGGAATGCTGAATCATCCCTGCATCCCTAGTATGAATCCCTCATGGTCATGAATATTGTTTTTTTCGTATGTTTATTTGTTTGCTTATTTATTTTATTTAATCATTTTATTATGGGCTCATACAACTCATCACAATCCACACATACATCAATTGTGTAAAGCGCATTTGTACATTCATTGCCCTCATCATTCTCAAAACATTTCCTCT